AGGGTTGCCATTTATAATAGGGGTTGAGCTGTATTTTTGTCCTATAATAAATCCTTGATTGACCAAGCTTGTTTTGTCAAGATGAAGGTGGATAGAGGTGTATATAGAAGTGCCACTGTAGAGCAGTGGCAGGTAATGGAGGTTCAACTGTAGTTCTAATCGAATGTAAATTTTCCTAAGATTAATGAACACTCTTGCTAATTAATTATATTCACATTAATATACATGTGTAGGTGTTTGCTACCATAACATGAATTAATTATTTTGTGGATTCTATTTCATGCCTAATCTAGAGGGACTGGCCACAGAACTGGACTCTACAAGGTTTGAAACAATATAAATGATAAACAACAAATTAATGTTGTCTAAGGTGTATTTTGATCATCATCAGTCATCAATCTTTATTTAAACACGATATCTTATCATAAGACAGGCAGTTTCACCCATAGCATCAATTAGGGAAAATCAAGCATACTCGGCTGTAACAGGTGTTACAGGTTACCGCCCTTTATGACAGCACTGGCTGGGTACTAATTTTTGCTACATTATTTTAATTTATTTACATTAATCAGCTTACAATAAATTATAACAGGTAACATAAGGAGTGATTTATTTTAATATTTGGAATATGCCTGGATGACGCTGTCTGTGACCCTTCGTGTATGTTGCAGTTTGTCTTAAAATCATTTTTTTGGCCAAGTTTTTTCCCTCCCTTACATGTACACTGTATCGTAGATGCTTTTTTCCAACTTAGTGCATTCAGCTTAACTAATAATCAGACTGATATGAAGATTAATTTTAATTTTTTTATGCCTTGCAGCTTTTGTCGTCTATGGGTTATCACGTGATAACTGTTGATTATCGAGGTAGGGCAGATTCATGTTTCTAATCTTTACTACATGCTTTTCCTGTACACTGTGAATAAAAAAAGACTTACTTGAATTCATCAAAAACCAAACACAGTTATCCCTCAATTTTGTAAACTCATTGATTGATTTAAGCCTTTGTTGAAAACTTTATTTTGATTTACAATTCTGTTGATTTTCTTTGTCAGGMTTTGGGGACTCTGAAGGGAAGCCATCTGAACTTGGTAATTATCATGTGGGTCCAAACATTTAAAAGTAGCTGTTGTTTTTATTAACATGCCACATTCAAGTTATTTAGTTAAGCTGACTTAACTTGAAGAACTTTAATTAATAAAATTTGTCCAGGGAAGTATTAAAAGAGAACTTAGGAATGCCGTAAATGTGATCACATCAAAAGCATGTGGTGACCTTTTTGTCATTAGTAAATAGGCATCAGCAGTCGGGGCTTTAGCTAGAACTAGGAATTGAAGAGTTTCGTGCAAAAAGGGCGTATGTGACATTTTGGGCCGATTTTTATTTTTTGCAGGATAGAGCTAATTTTTGGCAGACTGACTTGTTCTGACATGAAAAAGCATTGCTGCGTAATTGTTTTTGTTGATTTGCACTTCGTTTTTGAGAAATAACGTATGCAAAAAGCTCAGTTTTCTAAGGGTATCTATTGGATATCTTTTGTTGAGCGAAAAACAAAAGAAACCTTTGTTTTGCTAAAAGATGAAGTCACCGAAGCGTGGTATTTGCCGCTAGTTTTATTATTCATATAATAACACAGTTCTCCTACTGTTGCTTTGTTAGCGCAAGCTAACAAGGCGCTGAACTGGCGGGATGCGAGTTTGTTTTGTTGTGACACCGGTTCGATATGAGGTCGGCCAATTTTTTTTTTTCTGGTCTATTTCTCTGCTTCTTTCAAAAATCAAAACAAAAAAAAAAACGTGCCGTCGAAGCTGCTAAAAGTAACTGTTTAAGTTTGCGCTGCTTCAAAATCCACCTTGGAAGTATTTGCTCCAAAAGATGATGCTCGGAAAACTAAGTTTTTTGCATATGTTATTTCTCGAAAACGAAGGATAAATCAACAAAAACAATTACACAACAATGCTTTTCATGTCAAAACAAGTCAGTCTGCCAAAAATTAGCTCAATCCTGCAAAAATTAAAAATCGGCCCAAAATGTCACATACACCCTTTTTGCATGAAACCCCTCAATTTTAACAGATGCACTTGCTTCAGTCATTATTTTTGTTCTTATTATTTACAAGTCATCATAAACAGCTTTTATTGGAAAGAGAATTTAACCATGTCCAGAGGTTGTCTCAGGGTGCTTTTCTTTAAGAAAATCCAAGATTGGATTCTTAAATCTGAAGGAATCCGAAAACGGATTTTGCGTTTCTTTACTAAACAGAGCAATTCAAGATCTCTCGGATCATGGTGTGTCAAAGGAACAGAAGAATCCACTCCCAGTGTGGATTCTTCGGTTCCTTTGATGCCCTATGATCCGAGAGATCTTGGATTGATCTGTTTAGTAAAGAAACACAAAATCCGTTTTTGAATTCTTTCGGATTTAAGAATCCAATCTTGAATTTTCGTAAAGAAAAGCACCCTCAGTCATACATGTACTTTTCTCATGGGCCTTGTATCAGTCATAATTTCTTTCTGGCTATGTACGACCCTCAGCTGGCAGTTTTTCATCATTCAGTTGATTCATTGTGTTTGATTTCATGATCCATGGGTTTCATTCAGCATTGTAGTTTTGTCTGACCTGTTACATTCTGGAAAGCATTCACTTGATATTAATTATGTCAATTTTGTCAGCTTCCTTAAGAGAACTTTTAATGTTGATGTTAATATACATTGTATGTACCATTGTAAGTTTTTTTATTTTATAGGACTTATCCAGGATGGTTTATCTGCATGGCAATGGATTAGGTCTCAAAGCCCTGAAGCACCTCTCTATATCTGGGGCCACTCATTAGGTTCAGGGTAAGTGGGGGCTTATTAATTATGGTTGTTCAGGACTCAAGACTGTCCTCATTGCCAGTAACTCACAAGTGTCCTTGGGTAGCCAAAACATTTCTTAAC